AGAAAGAGAGTGCTGTCTCGCCGGTCGGCGGCCAAACGACTACTTCAAACCAAGACGACAGCCTCATTAAGAAAAAGAAGAAGTCGAAGGATGGAAAACGGAAAAGCGGAACAATTAGCGATGCAGCTGATGAAGATGTCGATATGAAGGATGCAGACGACACTGAAGAGGCCAAAGAGGAAGAAGCTAAAGGGACGAGGAAAAGCCGAAAGACTTCTGAGACTGCAACGACAGAGGATGACGACAAACCTACGAAGAACAAATTCGCCGGCATCTTGTCCAAGTTTGAGAGGTCGAAGAAAGCGCGGGAACTGGAAAAGACAAAAGAAAGCATGAAGGATGAAGATTCCACTGAGCTAACGACAGCAGAGCCGGTTGTAGCACAAGGTCTGGAGCCGTTACCACAACCAGAAGCAGCGCCTGAGCAGGATGAAATGCCAACCTACTCTTCGTTGCCGCCATGGCTGGCCAATCCCCTCCGTGCATCCGCTCAGGAACGACGCAAATTCGCCGATTTGGGAATCGACTCTAGCCTCCTCCGAGTTTTGGAAGACAATGGCTACCATGAAGCATTTGCCGTGCAGTCAACCGTCATCCCTCTCCTGTTGCAAGGACCAACGAACCATCCGGGAGACCTTTGCATCTCCGCCGCCACTGGTTCAGGAAAAACCTTGTCCTACGTCCTACCATTGGTCACAGCGTTGAAGCCGCTTCCTGCGCCTAGGTTACGAGGACTCATCGTGGTGCCTACTCGGGAGCTGGTGAAGCAGGCCAGAGAAGCCTGTGAGCTCTGTGCCGCTGGATCCGGCCTCCGCGTCGCGTCTGCAGTTGGAAACGTTGCGATCAAAGACGAGCAGCGGTCGTTGATGCGCGTCGATCAGGTCTATGGCCCTGCGACATTCAAGCTTCGTCAAAACGTGCAACTGACAGGCGATGACTGGACGAACTTCAATTTGCAGGACTACATCTCAGAAGCCGGTGATCTAAGTGAGTCTCTGCCAGGCTACGTTCACCGGTCAGAACCTAATGTCGACATCTTGATCTGTACTCCCGGTCGTCTGGTCGACCATCTTCGTTATACCAAGGGGTTCACCTTGAAAAGTCTCGAATGGCTCGTCATTGATGAGGCAGATCGACTACTGAATGAAAGCTTCCAGGAATGGGTGGACGTCGTGATGACCTCCCTGGACGCCCGGAAAGCCCCTGGTGCATTTGGTTTTAGCGGGAACTTTCTGTCCGGGCTTGGCTTGCCGATCCAGAGCAAGGAGCCACGGAAAATCGTTTTGAGTGCCACGATGACTAGAGATGTGACGAAGCTTAACTCTCTACGTCTTGCCAACCCCAAGTTAGTTGTCATCGGCGCGGATGCCGCCGCAACAGATGATGAGAGCGGTGGCATTGCACCTTCAGACGAACAGTTTACGCTCCCGCCTACCTTGAAGGAACATACCGTATCGGTTGGAGATGGATCGCAGAAGCCGCTGTATCTCCTGCGCCTCCTGCTGTCCCACATCAAGATTGAGACTAAGAGTGTCAAGCCTTCTGTGCACGATACTTCTGACTCTGATGATTCGGATTCCGACGAGTCAAGCTCTGGATCAGATTCCGATGACGCGTCGGACGTGTCTAGCTATGATGATTCAGACTCCGACTCAGACTCGGACTCGGACTCTGATACCAGTTCTGAATCGTCTTCAGACTCCGAGGATACCTCGGAGGACGAGTCGAGCGACGAGTCAGAGTCATCTGACAGCGACTCTGAATCAGAAGACGAAAAGCCGGACCGACAAAGGCCATCGCAGACCACAGTTTTGGTCTTCACGAAATCGTCTGAATCCGCATCACGACTAGCTCGACTGTTGGCACTCCTCGAACCCTCCCTCTCCGACCGCATTGGCACGATTATTAAATCGAACAAGTCGTCTGCTTCACGCAAGACTCTCACAGCTTACCGCCGGGGCAAGATATCTGTGATTATTGCAACGGATCGGGCCTCGCGTGGTCTGGACCTACGGTCATTGACACATGTTGTCAACTACGATGTGCCAGCTAGCATCACTACCTACGTGCACCGGGTCGGTCGTACAGCTCGTGCTGGCCAGGAAGGATCGGCGTGGACGCTTGTGGCACACCGAGAGGGCAAGTGGTTCGCAAGCCAGATCGCCAAGGGGTCGGATGGGAAGATCACTCGATCGACCAAGGTAGGAAAGGTGCAATTCAAATTGGATAATATGAAGGAGGTCAAGGCACGCTATGCATCTGCCTTGGACTTGCTCGAGAAGGAAGTGAAAACGGGTGGGACCAAAGCCTCCAAACCTAGTGCACAATGACATTGATGTTAGGTAGTCTCGGACAAGTGTATATAGTTAGGCCGAATACATGCAGACCAGTCTGGTGACCCTTTCTGTTTCGAAGAGTGGCCCGGGCTGAATACATAACTATTAAACAACACCTCCCCCCTCCCCGGCATATCACGCTCAACAGCTGTTCCCAACAGTTTTGTGCTGTATCAGATTATCAGTAACCATATCACTGTTCGTGTTGAGGTGCCGGGCTCAGCCGAGCTTGTCAGGTGCAGTCCATCTCATTATTGGACTCGCCGTTCTTCCTTCCTCCTTTTCTCAGTTCCTCGTTCCTATCGTTGCCAAGTATTACCATCCAGTTGCCGTTGACTTGTCTTTGCTTTGTTGTATGTCGAGAGGTATGCTGGTACAATATATATAATTACTCGTGCGGTGCTCTTGAGTGAATACTAACTCATATATTTATGGCATGAGCTGATCCTTCTACTACATTTACTGGGCAGCAGAACATCCTACCAGCGTCCGTGCCGTTTCCCCAATATGATGGTCAAATCCTCCTCATGTCACTAGTTTATATATGTCCACCCGCGCCGCTCAAATCGCTGCACCAAACAACCGGTGCTGTGGAAGATACATTTACCCAGATCGCAACGTCTTCCATGATCGTCCTGTTCCGAGCTGCTCCCTCAGGGCCGTAGCAATCCGTCTCCCATAAAAACTACGCACATCGGGAGTGTTACTAAATTTCTGAGAGGTGGTGGTTGCCCATCTGCCCTGCCTTTCAGAAGCACAGTGTTATCGACGGTCCTACGCAAATTACAAATGAGACTGGGGTATTGACAAAGAGCTGTACAGGATTCGTCGGGACAGGTCGAATATGGGAATGAAGGACTGGTAGGAAGAGCACTCTCACTGACAACCATCGATACGTATTCCCGAATTGATGGCTGCCTGCTCCAACCGAATACATCTGTGCGCACCTCGGCCTGGTCATCTGGACGGCGAGCGACGACGTGGAACAGAATAGACAGAAGCCCAGCAAGGAACACACTCAGCAATAGTTCCGGTCGCGTCGCCAATGAGTTCGACCACCTGGGATAGAAGCAGCTCAGAGTCTGAGCCTTTTTCGCACAAGGGATATTACGCGCTCGCACGGACTCATTCGCACTACTGTCTACACTTTACATAGACCCTAGTTCCAGCAGCAGCTCAGTTGAAACTACGTTTGGAAATGGGCTGCAGGGAAATGGACAACTCCCGTTGCGCGCAAGCAATAACGCCATTTTGGGCTATGTGATAGTCACGGGAGAACTCTAGCAACTCGTGACCGTCCACTTTGAACGCTTTAACTTCAAGGAAGTCGATCACAGAGTCAATAATTTGCACTATTAGCAATGCTATCATCTACGAGGTGTTTCAGGCGCGGAAAAGAAAACAAAAAGTAAGAAAAAAAGGGAGAGAGAGAGAGAGAAAAGGAGGGGGGACCTATTCCAGATCAGCTGTTGTGGTTGCAGATCGGATGGACAGTGCACCCAACTGTCCTACTATCTCCTGACTTACGGACATGCCGCTCAAAAATTGAAGGTCGGCGATGTAGCAGAGCGTGGAGGTGGGTTTGAGCAGCACTCGCGACTCTTCCCACTGCTTCCCATCGGCGGCGATGCCTACGCAGCACTTCACCACATAATGCCAGGTTCGGAAGAGTATCCATTATTACGAAAGCGAAGTTGCATATAGTTCAGCAGACGGCGCTCGAGCGTGGTGGAGACCGTCTTGCGGAGAGCGTCGGGGCTTAGCCCAGGGTCTAGATGGCTCTCCTGCGGTGGTGGAAGGCACCTGTGATGGTCTGATACCTGTCAGATGTGTTGCCCTGCAAGGGGAACCGGGCCTACAGTGTAACGGCAAGGCGAATTTTCCAATCACTACAGCAAAAGAAAGGGGGAAGCACGCTGTCAGTACTCAAAATGTATGTGACGAACCAAAAAGAAGAGCAAAACCAAAAGCATAGATTCGGTGCCACAAGTAGAGGGAGCATCATGACTATGTTATTCAGAGACCCTCATGACTTTTCCGAATTTCCCGCTATTGACTTAGTGGGTTCTACTAACCTCCACTGTCTTGGAGGCCTTCTTGCGGAGTATTTCTCGGCGTGGATTTAACCCGCGCCTTCAAGCTTATCGAAGTTTACAGCTTACAGCAGTGATTGACCGATTGCAGAAGGATCAGGAGAAGAGGCGTCGCAATGCAAGTAGGGCGAGAACGCCAGGAAAATCAGGAAATTGCCGCGCTCATCCGCCGCACCGGCTTATACTATTGAGCTTGGGCCTCCTATCACGCTTTTGGGAACCGTTTTCCGTCTGTTTGTGGTAAATCGGGTCGTGAAAGGGGGATCCCTGCAGACTACTGTGGGTCGCATGCAATAACGCAAGAACAGCCTGATTCCCCACTGGGTTAACACTGCCGAAGAATATAGTATCAGCACGTTGACATTCTGGAAAAGACCAATAGGCGGTAGCTGGCGCTCGATAGTGCAAATGCTAAGTTGTTTCTTTTTCGGAACTTTACCCATTCTGCAGCCAGAGACTGTCGTCGAAGAAGCAAATTACAGGGGTCTCATTGCTCTGACAGTTTCATCAGACAAGATCAGAATCACCACACATCAATCCACTGAGTTATGCTAATTAAATTGATTGTACGAGTCTATTATCGACCGGTTTCAAACTATATGTACTATCATTCCAATGATTCCAGCGGTGAAGACCCGCCAAGCTCGTCAAGCTCCTGTTCAATATCCACCAGTTCCCATACTATTTAGTTTCAATAGCGATCATCGGCCCAGCAGGTCGACCAATCGATGCACCGGAAGTTTGTCCTGATGGATCGCGTCGATCACCCGGCTTGTCTCCTCCGCCGTGAACAGGCCCTCCATGTTTCGCTCAAATTTGGCACGCACCTTGGGCAAAGTATCTTCATGCATCGGATGCCCGATCGGGTATTCGACGACTACTTCGTCTAATTGCGCCCCGTTGGTCAGAAAGACGGTGAGTCCGCTGGCCGCCGCCTTTTTGTGGTGGTAGCCGTAGGTGAACTGCGGGTCTTCGGCCATATGGATCCGCTGGCGAAGGGTCTCAACACGCGGGTCATGGGCCCACACGCTCGAATCGTGGTAGTCGTCTGCTTCGATGATCGCGTTCTTCAACAGCACCACCGACACCATGTACCGCATGCAGTGATCGCGGTCGGCCGCATTGGTGAGCGGGCCTTGCTTGTCGATAATGCGGACAGCCGCTTCATGCGTGCGGATATCGATGCGACTGATTTCAGTAGCGGGATCGATCCCCCTGCTGGCCATGGTCTCGGCCAACGACATGGCTGCCTGAACTGCGGAGATGCCGTGGCCCTCTGCAGTGATGAGTTTGAAGAACACCTCCTCCATCACCCGTGTCTTGAAGGGCCGTGGCAGCTGCAGCTCCTTACCCCCAAAGCTGACAGCCAGAAAGCCCCATTCTGGCTCAGTTAGCGCGCTAGGGATGCCTGGCTGGCCGGCGCGAGCTAGTAGGCACAGGTGTACAGCACGCATGGCGGCGTCTCCAGCGGCCCAGCCCTTGCGTGGCCCCGCATTGGGACTTTGACGGAAGATGCGCAAAGGGTGGCCATCAGCCCACGCATGGGAGAGAGCGACGGCGGCTTGTTTCTCCGTCAGACCCATCAGCCAAGCGACAACAGCTGTGGAGGCGATCTTCACAAGTAGTGTATGATCCAGCCCCACCTTGTTGAAGGCATTGCGGACCTGGTAGCAGCCTTGAATCTCGTAGGCTTTGATCATCGCGATCAGAACCGTCCGGACGGTCAGTGGCTGGCTGGTGGTGCCTGTACGGCTGAGCCAATCTGTGACCGCCAGGATGGCGCCCAGGTTATCTGTTCGTCGATCGGTTAGCCCTATATCCAGCCAAGCTTCTGGGAGCGCAGATCCCGCAGACGGGCCTTACCAGATGGGTGGCCCCATTCGGCACCAGGGTATGCATCATTGTGATCCAGAAAGCGAATCAAGGTTGCCATGTCAAAGGCACCCTTGACTGGATCGAGCTGGTGGCAGGTGCCCGGCAGCTTGAACCCATAAGGAGCGACCAGACCTGGTGTGTATGGGCCGATCAGAGCGCGACACTCGGGGCTTTGTTGAAGAGTCTCCAGAGCGCAACCAAGAGCATCCATGAGAGCATAGCGGGCCCGCAGGATAGCAAGGTCGCTTGTTACTTCGTAGTGGTAGACATACTCGACTAGGCGAGTTATCATTTCGTCATACTGTCGATCGGAAGTGGAAGACATGGTTTTCGGAGTGTGCACGGAAAGACTTAGGGATAGATAGGATTTGGAAGAAATGTTTGGATTGGCCCAGAAAGCGACGAGAGTGATGGCGAACGAAACAGACCGCAAAGGGAACCGCCCTTTTATGCTCCGTCGGGCAGACCGTGTCAGCCAGATGCCTTTAGATCGCCGGTGATAGTCTCTGCGGGCTGTCACTAGTCGATGGACCAAAGCTTGACAGACTATCTCGGCGTATCCATTCGTCCTTTTGAACTATTCCGTCCGAGACTGGATGGCCTCGGACAGATGCCTGCTGCCACGCCAGACGAGGTACAAATATGTGCTTCAGAGCCAGACAAATCCCAACAGAATCAGGACAGAAGCAGCGACAATCCTTCGCAGACTCATCGCATCCCCTTCTACATCATGGCATACACACTGGCATCTTGGCTGGGCCGCCTCTTCGATGCAGGCAAGAGCCTGCTGCCCTTGCAAGGCAACTACATCAATGCCCTACTGGAGCAGGAACTGCCTGGTGAGCGTGAAGGCACATTGACAGTGCGGGATAACCGGACGGGATCGAAGTATACGATTCCCATCGTGCGCAACTCAGTACCGGCCATGGGATTCCGTCAGATCTGCGTCGACCGTGCAGGAAAGAGCCCACGACAGCAATTCGAGGATGGCCTCCGGTTGATTGATCCAGGGTACCGCAACACAGCCGTCAAGATGTCCAGCATCACGTACATGTATGCTTACCTTTTGTCCCCTGGTCATCTTTGTCTTACTAACTGAGGTAGCAATGGCAACGAGGGCGTCATTCTGTACCGGGGCCACCCCCTTGCTTCGCTCATCGGAAAGAGCTACGAGGAGATTACCCACCTTCTCATCTGGGGCTCGCTACCCACACCCGAGGAGCGTCTGCGCTTCCAGCGGCGAATTGCCGAGGCGATGATGGTGGTGCCCGAGAACGTAAAGCAGATTGTGGCCACTTTCCCGTAAGTCCGCCCCTTATCTTTGCTTGTGCATGCTACTAACCTTGACGCAGACGAAACACTCCTCCAATGGTCATCCTCTGTGCGGTCTTGACGGGCTATCTGGCAGATCAACCCGAGCTCATCCCCGCCCATGCGGGTGCCAACCTCTACAACCGACGCCCAGAAATGGTCGATGAGCAGATCATCCGCACACTAGCAGTCACGGCGATAGCCGGGTCGATAGCTCACTGCCATATGAAGGGAGAGGAGCTCCGCGCAGCCGACCCGAACCTGAGCTACATCGAGAACATCCTCTGGATGGGCCGGTATGTGGATAACAACCCGGCGGTCACACGGGAGAAGGCAGCGGAGATCTTGACGAAGGCGTGGTCGCTGTATGCGGACCATGAGATGACCAACTCGACATCGGCTTTCCTTCACGTCTCATCTTCCCTGGCCGACCCACTTTCGGCGATGGCTGCATGCTGCATGTCTGGCTATGGGCTATTGCATGGAGGTGCCATCGACGCGGCATACCGAGGAATGCGGGAGATTGGTGGGCCGCAAAATGTGCCCAAGTTGATCGAGAAGGTGATAAACAAGGAGTGCCGGTTATCCGGGTACGGCCATCGGATCTACAAGCAGGTGGACCCAAGGGCGAAGTACGTGCGCGAGATGTTGGACGAACTGACGCGGGATCGCGACATTCGCGAGATGGACCCTGTACTCCAGGTGGCCATGGAGATCGACCGGATTGCCAGCACACACGAGTACTTTGTCAAGCGCAACCTGCAGGCAAATGCAGACTTGTACGGAAGTTTCGTGTACACGGCACTGTAAGTATTCCCCACATATTCCCAGAGGATGTCTACTAATCCATGCAGGGGTATTGACTCGCAATTTGCGACGGTGCTGGCAGCCACTGCACGGGTGTCGGGTGTGATGGCACACTGGAAGGAGCAGACTGGTAAGTTTTCGTCACGTTTCTTCTTGCGAAGAAGAGAAACTAACGAATGTAGAACGCGCACCGGATTTGTGGCGGCCACTGCAGGTGTACGTGCCGAACTAGAAATAGGGGTCTAAGGATGGAATTGTACAGAATGGGTCATCATAGGAGTCTATTGTTTTCGGGTCTGGGTCTTGGTTACTCCATAATTTGCGCTATATTCTTTAGTTAATATATTTCAACAATGTTTATTGATTGTCATCTACAATATCCATGGTGTCGTACGGTGAGGCGCATTGTTGTGAAAAATAATTATCCGCAGTGATTATTACAATGATGATTGATTTGTAGAATTTAGAAGAATAGAGCTATAAATCGGGTCCAGGCCGGAGATACCGATCGATTTGGTCCAATGTCCAATTATTATCTAGATTTTGCATTCTCTGTCAACTCTTGCTAGAGAGACTAATCCATTAGACCGGAGCCAACCATGCAATCCTGTGGCTGCACACGCCCAGCGGAGGTTAGATCCGAGACCACTTTTTCAACCTATGCATCCATGCTTTGCTCAGTCTAAATCTGTGATCTAGTGCATCTCCAAGGTCATCATGAAGTGTTCTCGGTGGCCAATACTTCTAAGACAAGTACCATGCCTGCGACCCATACACTATCGTTGTACGCGCCACACTACGTCTCGACAGTGTTGGATTTTTACCGTCGTAGGAATCAAAAAGTTGATAGTTACTACGACTGCTATTGCTACTAAAACGCCTCAGTCTAAGTAGCAACCTCTAGTACGAATCCGAGGCTCATATATAGTCAAGCTCTTCCTTTCTTCTCGGTTTCCATCACTGAACCCACCATCTCCTCATCTTACTATCAACCAGCTCCTCGTAAGCATATCCATTATTCACCCAACCAAAGCCAAACATGTAGCTTCTCTCCACCTTTGTTGCCGGTGCCCTGGCCCTTACCACCTCTGTGCAGGCTGCTAACTGCAATGCTGGCCTGAACTACTGTGCCTCTGTGCTGAAAAGTATCGGTACGTGTGCTCTCGTAGTATTCCACCTTCACCTAAGAATATCAAGCATATGGTTCAGAATCGGATTCTGACTTTCGCCATTGAATACCTTCAAATTTCAAGTACTTTCAAATGATGAATGCCGCCATTGGGCAAAAGTATAGAGAGTTCAATGCGGATCTTGTCCACCCTATGCTCTACCTGTGGCATTGCAATGCCGGTGGATCGGTTAGCATCGTTAAGCGCTGTGACTGGGACTGCGTGGATGGAGGTGCTGGAAAGAGTGATTACTGCCAATGGCAGCAGTAGATATAGTATGATATGATGCAGTGTTTCTTGTGGCAGGGGGGTTTGATCTGATCGTGTGGGTTTGTGGTAAGGGTTAACATGTATTGCTTGTGTTATTTACATGGAAGTGTTTTGGAGCTTTAGCGTGTTAGAGAAGACATAGTTTGATGTTGAATAGATTTTTTTTTTTGGAATGTATCTGTGAAGAGGGTAGTCCGCATTATATGCCCGTGTTTGTCAATGGCAGATGAACGAGGGTGGTACGTAGTTGCCTATACTGAGAGTTCTACGGTCTTCTTCAATCTCTGTGTCCGATTTGACACCTTATTTACAGGGCCTACCAAATCTCGAAACCCTAAAAATCGCTAATTTTCCTACTGCTGTGGCATTTTGTTCAATCCAGTCAGCAGGTGAATCAGCTTTTCACAACACAATCGATTGTGTAGTTATCAGACCATGTAGGTCAGGGGTATATCATGTCCGTCTAGTATTGACCGGACAGAAAACACCGACAGAACCCATCACATTGCTTTTGTCTCCAGCTCCACAAAATCCAAAGAAATATATCTGCGCCCTTAATTAAATCCCCTAAACGCCTTGATAGCGGTCTGCATTGATAGTGTTATATCGTATAATAATTAGCTTCACTAGTTACGAATGGGCGGCAGCGATCGACACGCCGCAAACAAGTAACAAAAGACCCACAATGACAAGTCGGTTTTGCAAAAGAAATAATGACCTTTACGTTTCAGTTAGACTATTGACGTGTTTTTATTTGATTATTATCCTATCACGGCCCAATGCAATAAAAATTTATATGGTGGGTCATTGACAAGTCGATCCGGGCATTTCTACGCCGTGTCTAAACTCCGTACCAAAATACTCCTAGTAGATTATAGTCCAAAAGATAGTCAGATCGAGAAATGAATCGAATCGAGAAAATGAAGACGATCGGGTTCGCCAAGAAGCACCCTATGTTCTTACTTTCTTTCTTTTTCTTTGTTGTTGGGTAATCATTCATATCCCCATAGGGCTATAACTGACAAACTTCCACCTTTTCCTCGCCAAGCCATACTTCTCACTCGCTATCATACTCCTATCCTCCCTTTAGTTTCCATCAATTATTTCCCATCATTTACCTGTCATTCAGTCACATAATACATAATAAAGTCCTACCACAATGACCTCTCACACACCTCCCCCCGCCACTTCCACCGGCACTCCCGTAACTCACACCCTCTCCAACTGGCTGGAAGAACTCACTTCCGAGTCCATTCCCGCCGAAGTCCGTGAACGGGCCAAATACCTCATTCTCGATGGATTGGCCTGTGCTCTGCTGGGGGCACGACTCCCCTGGTCCGTCAAGGCCCATGATGCCATCACTGCCATTGAGGGAGAGGGCAAATGTACCGTGATCGGATGGAATGAGGTATTTCTTTCTCCTCTAATCAGATTCCTTCACGTCTATAGACGTAATGGATAGGATGCTAATGGAGTGATAGACCCTCCCTCCCAATGCCGCCGCCCTCCTGAACAGCACCTTCATTCAAGGCTTCGACCTCGACGACATCCACATCGAGGCCCCCTTGCACAACATGTCCGTCATCGTCCCTGCAATTCTCGCAGCCGCAGAACAGGAGCAGGGCAGTTCGACTCGCCCTATCAGCGGCAAAGACTTCCTTACTGCCACAGTTGCCGGCTGCGAAACAGGACCCCGTGTAGGCTACGCCCTGGGCGGAACACACATGCTCACAATCGGATGGCACTCTGGTGCCATCTTCGGCCCTGCTGCATCTGCCGCAGCTGTCTCCAAGCTGTTGAATCTCCCAGCCGCGCAGATCGAAGATGCCCTGGGCATGGCGTGTACACAGGCTTGCGGACTTATGTCCGCGCAGTTCGAGAGCATGGTAAAGCGCATGCAGCATGGGTTCGCATCACGGAGCGGAGTACTTGCCACATACCTGGCAAAGCAGGGATTCACGGGAATCAAGGAGATCTTTGACCGCGAGTATGGTGGGTTCTTGAAGATGTTCTCGCTCGGGGCGGAGACTGAGCCCAAGTTTCACCCAGAAGAAATTTGTAAGGGATTAGGGGAGGTGTGGCAGATCAAGAAAATCAAGCAGAAGTTGCATGCGTTGTGCGCGGTGACTCATTGTACAGTGGATTGTGTTAAGGATCTTCAGGCCGAGCATCCTGCGAAGATGGGCGAGTGGAAGAAGATCGTCAAGATCGAAGCGGAGATGGCGAGGGCTGCGATGAAGAAGGGTGGCTGGGCACCGGAGAAGCCGGCTACCGTCACAGCGGCGCAGATGAGTATACCGTACGCGGTGGCGTTGCAGGTCCTGGATGGGGAGATTGTGCCGGGGCAGTTTGCGCCGAGCATGTTGAACCGGGAGGAGCTGTGGGATGTGATTGGATTGGTGGAGTGTCGGGAGGCTAAGGAGCTGGATAATACGTGGGCTCAGAGGGTCAAGATCACGTTTGAGGATGGGGAGGTGCTGGAGAAGTTGTTGAAGGCGCCCAAGGGAGTCCACCCCGGGGTGACCAATGAGGAGGTGTTGGAGAAGTGGCGGGCTGTGACGAAGGGGGTGATTCCGGAGGAGAGGCAGAAGAAGATCGAGGAGGTGGTGTTGAACTTGGAAGATGTGGAGGATGTTGCGGGTGTTTTGGGCGAGTTGTTGAGGGGAGAGACGGTGAATGTGCTGCAATAGAAGATTACCCCTTTTGGACGGGGATGGCTTCATATTTCCCAAGCGATGTCACGCCATACCAAAGACTCATTTACCCGGTGCCTGAGCAGATCTCTACTTTGTTAAACAATGCCAATGTTCGTATTTTTTTTATTGCTAAATGCAAGCATTCCAAGTTCTTCCCAATGCCGGCTAAATCATTCAGGCTAAACCCCGCGATGAAGTCAATCGGCCATTCTCCGGCGCATCTCCGCATCTCCGCAAAACCCTATAAATCTACCCCAGATTCAGTCCCCGACCATCTTTTTCTCCCCCCACAGACTGGCTCAAACATGGCGCACTCAATGTCTCGTCCCGTGGCTGCCACTGCCGCTGCTCTGCTGGCTCTGGCTCTTCCCCAAGCTCTTGCCCAGGCCAACACCAGCTACGTCGATTACAACGTCGAAGCCAACCCCGACTTGTTCTCTTTGTGCACGGAAACCATCCCACTGAGCTTCCCCGACTGCCAGAATGGCCCCCTGCGCAGCCACCTCATCTGCGACGAATCAGCCACCCCCTATGACCGAGCAGCATCGCTCATCTCGCTCTTCACGCTGGACGAGCTGATCGCCAACACCGGCAACACCGGCCTCGGTGTCTCCCGACTTGGCCTCCCTGCATACCAGGTATGGAGTGAAGCACTTCATGGCCTCGACCGTGCCAACTTCAGCGACTCAGGCTCCTACAATTGGGCCACCTCATTCCCCCAGCCTATCCTGACCACCGCGGCCCTCAACCGCACCCTCATCCACCAAATCGCCTCCATCATCTCCACCCAAGGCCGCGCCTTTAACAACGCCGGCCGCTACGGCCTCGATGTCTACGCCCCCAACATCAACACCTTCCGCCACCCCGTCTGGGGTCGCGGACAAGAAACTCCAGGAGAAGACGTCGCTCTCGCCGCCGTCTACGCCTACGAATACATCACCGGCATCCAGGGTCCCGACCCAGACTCGAACCTCAAACTCGCCGCCACGGCCAAGCACTACGCCGGCTATGACATCGAGAACTGGCACAACCACTCCCGCCTGGGCAACGACATGAACATCACCCAGCAAGACCTGTCGGAATACTACACTCCCCAGTTCCACGTCGCCGCCCGCGACGCCAAAGTCCACAGTGTCATGTGTGCCTACAACGCCGTCAACGGCGTCCCTGCCTGCGCCGACTCTTACTTCCTCCAGACCCTCCTCCGCGACACCTTCGGATTCGTTGACCACGGCTACGTCTCCAGCGACTGCGACGCCGCCTACAACATCTACAATCCCCACGGATACGCCTCCTCCCAGGCTGCCGCTGCCGCTGAGGCCATCCTCGCTGGCACCGACATCGACTGCGGTACCACCTACCAATGGCACCTGAACGAGTCCATCACTGCGGGAGATCTCTCTCGTGATGATATCGAGAAGGGTGTGATCCGCCTCTACACGACCCTCGTGCAGGCCGGATACTTCGACTCCAATACCACCAAGGCGAACAACCCCTACCGTGACCTCACCTGGTCCGATGTCGTCGAGACGGACGCATGGAACATCTCCTACCAAGCCGCGACGCAGGGCATTGTCCTTCTCAAGAACTCCAACAACGTCCTTCCCCTCACCGAGAAAGCTTACCCACCATCCAACACCACCGTCGCGCTCATCGGTCCCTGGGCCAACGCCACCACCCAACTCCTGGGCAACTACTACGGCAACGCTCCCTACATGATCAGCCCCCGCGCCGCGTTCGAAGAAGCCGGATACAAAGTCAACTTCGCTGAGGGCACCGGTATCTCCTCCACAAGCACCTCGGGCTTCGCAGCCGCCGTATCCGCCGCCCAGTCCGCCGACGTGATCATCTACGCCGGTGGCATCGACAATACCCTTGAAGCGGAGGCACTGGATCGCGAGAGCATCGCATGGCCCGGTAACCAACTGGACTTGATCCAGAAGCTCGCCTCGTCGGCTGGAAGCAAGCCGCTCATCGTTCTCCAAATGGGCGGTGGACAGGTCGATTCCTCGTCCCTCAAAAACAACACCAACGTCTCCGCACTCCTCTGGGGTGGATACCCCGGCCAATCCGGCGGTTTCGCTTTGAGAGACATCATCACGGGAAAGAAGAACCCCGCGGGCAGACTAGTCACGACACAATACCCTGCCAGCTACGCGGAGGAGTTCCCCGCGACGGATATGAATCTCCGTCCTGAGGGAGATAACCCCGGTCAGACATACAAATGGTATACCGGCGAAGCAGTGTACGAGTTCGGCCACGGATTATTCTACACAACCTTCGCGGAATCATCCAGCAACACCACCACGAGGGAAATCAAACTCAACATCCAGGACATTCTTTCCCAGACACACGAAGACCTGGCGTCTATTACCCAGCTCCCTGTGCTGAACTTCACAGCCAATATTAAGAATACTGGCAAGGTGGAGTCGGATTACACCGCTATGGTGTTCGCCAATACGTCTGATGCAGGCCCGTCGCCATATCCGGTGAAGTGGCTGGTCGGGTGGGATCGGCTTGGGGACGTGAAGGTCGGGGAGACAAGGGAGTTGAGGGTTCCCGTTGAGGTGGGGAGCTTTGCGAGGGTGAATGAGGATGGCGATTGGGTGTTGTTCCCGGGGACGTTTGAGTTGGGATTGAATCTGGAGAGGAAGGTTAGGGTCAAGGTTGTGCTGAGTGGTGAGGAGGAGGTGGTGTTGAAGTGGCCGGGGAGGGAGGAGTAGATCATCGCTCCAAGCGATTGATTATCATCATCATGATGATGTATATAGCCCCTAACTATTTATTATCAATTGACATTGAATGTTAACTCATATAGAGCTAGCTCTCCATCGTGAGCGAATAAAGTGAGAATTTCATAAACTTTATTAGAGACTAGCTAGCTATAGGCTATTCACAATTAGCCGGTTCTGCAATATGGCTTGCTTACCCGCCCTGCACGCTGTCCGGGGCCAGGATCATCATCACCAACTACTCTTCGCATAAAATGTAAACAAAGGCCTGGGACCAGGATCCGTCCGACTCAAAAGGAGCAAGTCCCTCGTTCGCATACTGGCCACATGAACCTGGTGTTCCGAGACCTCTTCAACCGGGTCTTCAAATGCCCAGAAGACGCTTTCTTCTTGATATCCATCGGATACGCGCTGGCCGCTCAGACATACAAATGATGTACCCTGTCTTCCGAAGGAAACAACTGTGTTTCCGAATCTGGTGTCGAAGTCGTAGGTTTGGAATTTGAAAAGTGTGCGGGCGTTTCCTTGGAGAGTTGGGAGTGCGACTGCAGGTTTTGTTAATGTGTTAGCAGGGTAGTTCTTGACCGGATGTTTATACTTGTACATAACTTTCAGAAAAGGGTGGGGGAAAGCTCACTGTCGCTGAAGCTGCCGTTGTCGAGGGTTCGTTCTTGGGCGATCATGGTTATTGTCCTGATGGCCAGCTGTTTCGGAGTTTGGGGTTAGTGGAGGATAATTGGGGATATGGTTGGTGGTGTACTTACCAGGACTAGTTTCTTGTAGTCCTCTGGAATGGGATATGAGATTGGGGAGTTGATTTCTTCGGGGTTTTCGTTGATGGCTTGGACCTTTTTAACTGTTAGTAATGTAATGATAGCTATAGGATTTTTGTGGATGCGCAGGCTCACTTTGGTGCGGATCACGGAGAGTATGTTGGCCCCTTCTTCGTACAGTTCGGCTTGTTGCTCTCTGCCGTTGATGAACTTGGAAACAGGGACTATAATATAGAAAGGGTTAGTAAATAGCAGCAAGCGGTGATTCGTGTGAAAGCTATACTCTTCCTGACGAGCTCAAGGTACGCGTCGTACTGCGTAAAGTCTTCGAATAGGTACCAGCTCTGGTTCAGTTAGCTACATTCCATGGATAATAATCATTGCAGAGCAGGTCTCACCCTCTGACTGGCAAAAGTATAGTCAAATGGCGTGAATGCATTGTTGAAATTCGGTACGTTGGTGTATCTCCACAGGAGTGCACTGCGTCGCTGTAAGTGTCCTGTAACCGAAGAAACTTGAGAGGGAGAACTCACAATCGTCTATATCTATGCTTTCCCTCCCTCAACTCCTGGTAGAAGTTATCCGCGCCTTCCTTGATCGCAAAAAGAGGCGAGTCTTCACCGTCGTGTGGCTCTGCGTGGATAACTCCAGATCGGCCTCCGCCTCCAGAGGTATGGATCCAGACTGTTACGCGAGAGTGTCTGTTAATCGTCTCCACGGCACTTCTTACTTCGTTTGTGACAGAGCCGGTGACTCCGTACATCGAGAAAGCAACCTCAGATCTTTCAGAAGTGTCAGGAGGAAGTAAGTTGAAGGACTCGGTGATGACTTACGCCTGTCTGATCTCTTGACTGGTGGATTTGTTGACTGCGGAAATGGAGACGCGAGCAAAGTATTGGCCACCTCGAATGAAATCTGTCACGACCATTTAGCAACTACCCAGTGGCTAGAAGATAGAACATCGTCTATCTTACCTGCAATAAATCGATCTCCGTACAATTCATTCGGAGTATCGGTGCTAATTTGGTGAAAGGAATACGAATTCCCAATTGAAGCTTGCTGTCTGGATGACACCTGGACTTGATAGGTCACCGTACTGCTTTCAAAACTGTGTCGATGAAGATTAGCTAATTTTGAATGCCCAAAGTCAAGCCAGAACAGATACACTCACCTTAGCCGATCAAGATAGCCAGCGTCGATTTGAGAGGACTGTCCCCAGCCGGAAATAGCAGCGCCAGCACTTATTTCCAAGGACTGCGCAAGCTTTCTGAAAAAGACATAAGGAGAGAAGTCAGCATTACACTTCAAACTGAGAATTTAGGTGTGCGGACGTGTAATCATCGATCCTTTCACTACTATAGAAGAGGTCGTAGGTGACGGACTCCGGTTGGCCTGGAGTGATAGTGACAGCATCTGCTACACCAATTTGTTGAAGGTAGGTATTGTATCTGGATGAGGGATGAATTGTTCAGTATGTGAGCACGGACACGGTTGTATCTATGAAGAGGATCGGAATCGATCGTACCCCTGTCCTTGCTGCATGCCATCGAAATATGGAACAAGTTCGGCCATTTTGGAAAATCTGGCTGCTTTGATCAGGTAATAGGGTATGAAAAATCTGAAGATGATTCTCAAAAACTGACTGGTAGTTGCATCACATTCCAACCAAATGCTGATGTCTTTATATGCTGGAGCACCAGTGTACGAGCAATCCTCGGGCCTATACAGACATCACGTCACTCACAACAAACCCCGATGCAATGTTCTCAGAGATGTAACTTCGTGGTGGCGGTCTGCATCATTCAGTTCTCTATGTGAGGCATTTTCTTGGGAGAAGTAGATTCCATCGAGTGACAACGACGACTATCCATTCAGCGGAGCAAGAGCCATGGAGAATGCAATGGCAGTGTCAAGGATACAAACATCGCGAGTATTAAAGCCGATGTCTAGACTCGCAATTGATGTCTGATTCGTTATCGGTGACTCCGAAAAGCCACTGGACGGGCACTAGATTCCGCTGCACGAAGCGTGGAATAATATCGATGGATCTGTAGATCAACTCAAGTGATCAAGGAAACGTTCGGGGAAAAATGGACCTGCCTGTGCTTCAGATAATTTGTTGACATGGACTGTTCGGGAACTGCCCTATAGTACCCCTGCAGTGGCAAATGCATGTCATCAGAGATGCATGAGCTGAGCATCGCGCAAACGCTTTCCCCTCATTTCTGAACGCTGATCTGGCCCTTCAGCTCGAGGTTCTACTCCACTTTACACTGCTGGAGGGTTACATCGATGAAATTCTTGCAATTCTGTGGCGTGCTTTCTATGATGTTCCTCCGAGGGCAAGGCACAAGGAAACTCAGCGACTGGGAATGGGAAGGCATGAGCTGCACAATCCCTGCTACTCCTGCTGTTGCGAATACGTAATGAGATGGATTAGCAGAATCCAGGATCCAGACTTGATTTTGCAGTCAGGCACACACTCACAGATACTAGGCTGGAGGATGACGATGGTGGTCGGAAACTCCAGACCTCAGCAGCGAGTACCAGAGATGATATAAAGACCCCCTTCCGGTCGCTCAGAAGAGAAGTCCACGAGAAGCATATCTTCCTCAAACCAAATTCGTCAAGAATATACACAATCCTCTCCACCAAAGACTTATACCACAGCCTCCACCCCCGATTAAACCATGGCCGAGCGAGCAGAAGCCCAATGGGTGCACATCCGCGTCGTCAACTCCCTATCCTTCGACACCCTGAGTGTCAGAAACACCTGGCTAGGCTGGTAAGTTCACAAAAAAAAATCATAAAGTTACCCATTTGGCACCAGCTCTCTTCCCTCTTCCCTAACACATTATCAGGGGCAAATTCCACAAAGAAAACAACAAGAGCGCCGAAATCCCCGTCTCCGACATCAACGCGCTCCGGGCAGCTCCTGGCGGGTCCTTCAACGTCTTCGCATGCGGCAGAGCACACTCGCCCTCTGGCACAGAGGGAAGCTTTGACGTGTACAGTGGAGATGTCCGCGTCGCTTACATCTACTGGGACTGTCCTTGGGGCTCGAAGCGCAACCAGTTCCGTGTTGACAGGATTGCTGATGATTACTGGGTGGAGACGGGGTATTGGAATCAGTCGGGCGGTGCTATTGGTAGTGTTACGGTGGAAATTGGGAGAAGAGATCGGGCGATTCGGTCGAGTCTTTAGATAGGGTGGATTCTGTGCTTCTTGGCCTGCTATTGCAGGAGTGTTTGGTTCGTTGATTATGTGTATGTGTTGTAGGTGTTGAATGGGTGTGATGAGAAGTATGTGATGTGGTTGAGTCGTCATTAACTTCTTGCCATTGACGCGAGAGACGATCTGATTATGATTATCTTACTACTGCAACTGATGGCTATATGGTGGACAGATTGATTGAAGAAGTCGGAAGTCGTAGAATTAGTAGGATCGACAGCATCTCCCACCCTATCGGAGTTGCTATGCGTTAGCGCAGGGACTGAAGTTTGGGGTGAAAGGCTGATATGATAGATCAACAACTGGCAGGTACTCTAGATAGTGTGTCGAGCATGTTCAAGATATATAATATTGTATTGCCTCATTTGTCCGTGTCATTGTCTTGTTTGACCAGAAGACGACGCTGAAGTCTTTCGCATATGCTGATAAGTCCCTAGCAGTGCTGTCGGTATAGAAGCATCGACTCCTCGACCGCAACAACAACGAACACAACTCAACTCATAAAACAACAACTATTGCAATTACATGGCATACTCTCACCCTATCTTTCCGAGCAAAAAATAATCCGAAAAACAAAAACGACGACAGTCGGATTTGAACCGACGCCTCCGAAGAGAATAGATTTCTAGTCTATCGCCTTAGACCGCTCGGCCATATCGTCTTATGATAGAGCTTTCGTAAAAATGCTATAAGAGGTCATCAATCAATGCATCCAACAATTCATTCGGTTTATATCATAAATCATTGATGCCATATCCATACTAATCATTTACATCTATGTACTATTTACTCTCCATCATCTCGATCAGTTCCTCGTACTCGCCCGTATTTCGCACCATTTCCCAAAATACGCCCTTTTTCGCGACCAGTCGCGCCGGTGAATCATTCCTATTAGCTTTCAGTTAGTTTCGTTCCTAATTCATACGGATAATAGAGGGGTTGGCATTGACGCACTCGATAATTTCCCCATCTGCCATCACCAACACTCGATCATAGTCCATGATCGTCCGCAATCGATGCGCAATCGCTATGATCGTGCAATCGGCAAACATCGTCCGCAATACCTTTTGCATATGCGAGTCTGTTTCGTGATCCACCGACGCCGTCGCCTCATCCAGCAACACCACTTTCGATCGCCGACACATTGCCCGCGCCAGGCTCAGGACCTGTCGCTGACCCTGACTGAAGTTCTCTCCGTTCGCAGCAACCGGCGTATCCAGCGCCAGCGGCCGCATTGTTCGGCTCTCGCCCTCGCCCTCACCCTCGCCAGGGACATGAACCGTCGTGCACGCCGATAGCGCCGCGCGCAGCTCGGTCTCGCTGGACTCGCCAAACGGGTCGAGGTTGGACTGCACGTCGCCGGAGAAAAGCACCGGCTCTTGCGGAATCAGTGTCACGTTGGTGCGCAGCCGGTTCAGGCGGATCTGGTCAATGTTGACTCCATCAATGGTTACGCTACCGTCGACGATATCGACGAAGCGGAGCAGGGATAGCCCCAGGGTTGATTTGCCGCTGCCGGTCCGGCCGACGATGCCGACACGCTCGCCTGGGTACGCGACGAAGGATACTTTGCGGAGTACGTCGGGTCCGTCGGGTTGGTAGCGGGCAGTGACGTTGCTGAATTCGACCCGGCCGGAGGTTGGCCAGCTGGCGGGTAGAGCGTCGGCTTTGCGTTGCTCTTCGATTTCTAGCTTCTCCTCTGGCTCGATGTCGCCGTATTCTGTCATGCGTTGGAAGGAGTTCAACTCCACTTCGAGCTCGTTGAGCGTCCGGACTAGCGTCAGGATCGTCTGGCTGAGGCCGATGGCGTTCGTCAGAGAGAATCCCACCAGACCTGCTGATCCGGACCAGAAGTATGCTACGCAGCCGGCTGCAGCTGCTACAGACGCGGCGCAAAAGTCTGTCCGGACCGAAACCCAGCGGTTGCAGTTGTATTGTGCCTCGGAGGAGCGGGCGTGGACTGCCAACTTCTCGGCCAGCAGGTTCTGGAACACCTGGTCCATGCCGTGTCGAGCTCGGATCACGCTCAGTCCTGACAACGAGTCGGTAAAGTGTGAGAAAACAGGGGAGTAGTTGATAGAGGTCAGCCGCTTGATCGATACTTGAGCGCGTGTGTACATCTCTCCGATGACGAACCCTGCAGCGCAGATAACGGCCGCCGGGAGAGCAAAAATGGGCATGATGGAAGCGACACTGGCAATTCGAAGCAAGAATCGTAGAGTATTCTCGATTGACATCCGCAGCCACTCAACAAGAACTGTGTCCAGAGACCGTGTGTCGTTTCCGAACCGGTTGATGGCGCGTCCAATAGGGTTTTGATCGAACCAAGCAATCGGTGCAGACAGCACGGCCGTCACCAGCCGGTGGTGCGTCTTCTTAGCAGCCACCCAGCTGCCGTACTGATAAATAAGATTGTTGCATAACTGCAAGGTCAAGAAGGTGATGATGCACGCTGCGTATATCCCGAGGTAGAACAACGTATTGGGGTGCTCGTATTTGTCGTACGCCCCAGTCCATATGGATAGCCAGTATGTGATGGCAAAATAGGCAAATTGCACGGAAATGGTTGCAATCACAACCAGTGGAACGTAGGAAGCGCCACCAAATAGCATCATATAACGAAGCGCTGATCTGTTAGCAATGCTCAAAGCCGTCTGAAGTCCTCGGGTTCTTACCTAGCGTGCGAGGCACTCTTCCCGTGGCAGATGTCTCCTTAGCTATGCGTTCCTCAGCAGGCGGTTGCTTCCCAGCAGGAGCAACTGGCGGAGGCTCTGACGGGGATTCCAGAGCTTCGTCTGCCACGCGCACATTGCTCTCCGACACGGAAGAGTCTGTATCAGTGCCCGGTGTGGTGCATCGCGAGGACATGAGAGAAAGTGTAGTTTTGGAGATAGCTCGAGCGGGGACAATCCTGCCATGCTCCAACCGGATCACCAAGTCGGCATCCTGCAAGGCGGCTGGGTAGTGGGTGATTAAAACGACCGTGCGATCCTTGAGTAGACCGCTGCGGAAACATTTCTCATAGACAAGACTAGTGGTATGGGTGTCAAGAGCGGAGAATATGTCATCAAATAACAGCGTGTTCGATGGCGAATAAAGTGCCCTTGCCAAAGATACTCGCTGTTTCTGACCGCCGGAAAGCGAGGTTCCTCGCTCTCCCACCATGGTGAGGTCGCCTGCCGGAAGCTGTTGCAGGTCTTGGGTCAGACCACTGGCTTCGATGGCCATGGCATAGCGGGCTTCATCGAACGGGCTATAGAAGACGATGTTCTGACGAATTGTATCGTTCTGAAGCCATGGTGCCTGTGGAACGTACGCTACATCGCGCGGACAAGTAGCAGTTCCTGATTCCAACACTGTCTCACCCAGGAATGACAAGAGCAGTGATGTCTTTCCGCAGCCAGTGGGGCCCGTCACCACATTGAGAGCGTTGGGCTTGAAGCGGAGAGTGATATCCTGCAGCCTAAAGGCAGCAATGGGGGTGCGTCGAAAGGTGGCATTCTTAAACTCTAACGGGCCGTCTGGGTGCCGCTTGATCTCACTAGCAGTGTCAAAGAAGTGGTCCACACGACGCAGCGACTCTGATCCTTGCGCGGTATAGCGGCTGATGTTGGACAACCAGATAAACTGAACGCGCAACGTTTCCATGATGGACAATGAAGTAAAGGCGACAGGGGCCCGCAAAGGAAGATCAGTAAACAATATGTAAACAGAAAACATAACTAGAAGACTGAGGAGCGGCAGCAGCTCGCCGCCCATGGAAATAAGAGCCACAAATACGCTGCGTCTCCACAAATGGCGCTGCTCTACACGGCGAACGTCGTTAATGTTATTC